AATTCAGGACCTTCTTCCAGGACAGAATCCCCATTTTGGGGGTCCAAATAGCTGCAAGTGTAGGTATCAACATTTTCCTAGTAAAAAGCTGTATTACCGCCTGGATGACAGTCACCTCACTCCCCGTGTTGTCAAGAAATTCTGGGACAAACCGCACCCCGCTCTGCAGAGCATGGAACCCCATCCAGACCATTCCTGGAGGAAAACGGAGGGTGGGCACAGCATGTGGACTTGGCCGGGGGATAAGATGGAACTTGGAGGGCAGGCATTAAGAAGTGAAACTAACCTGGAGAGCTGATCCCCGGAGGGCAGGGCACACACACTGCTTCATGTCTGAAGACCCCCACGGCAGATGCAGGCTGGCTCGAAGCTGCCCTCACATCCTTGGGGCCCCCACCACGCGTCCAGAGCAGGAATCTCCCACGGTGGCAGCATCTAGGTCCTGAGTGGTCCATCTGGGTGAGTCGGGCTGCTCACCCGGGGTTGGGGGTTGGGCCAGGGGGTCCAGTTCCTCGGGATGCAGTGGGGGAAGGGGAAGCTGAGTCCCAGGACTGGTGCTCCAGCCCAAGGAGGGAAGCCAGACACAAACCACAGGACTGTCACCACGGCCAGCCGAGTGGGGACAGCAGGTGTCTGGTGCAGTGCCGTGGGGACCTGACCGCAGGCCTCCTGCCAGGCTGTGCGGGGATGGGCTCGGGACCCAGCAGGTCAGCAGTCTGCAGCCCGAAGGAGCAGGTGAAAAGGCAGAGACCAGAGCGGGTGCCACAGGGAGGCCGCAGGGGGAGGTGCTGGGCCGCTCGCAAGCTCCAGCTGTCCCTCCCGCCCAGACGGCCGTGACACAATCACACTCACCGTCTCTGGTGACGCAGCTGCACGCGTCTCCCATGTTATCACGGTGTCTCGACCTGGAGATGGCCTGTACCCCACTCCAGCATGTGTGTACCGGGCTGGGCTGACCGTCCCGATGGTGGTGGAGACCCACAAGCACAGGTGCACTGAGCGCACGGCCCGCGGGCCCCCGGCCTCCATCAGACGTCGGATGGGGGACGGCGGGACAGGCCTGCCCTGGATGGTTCTCACGGGCGCGAACGCCGACTCTCGGCAGACGGCTTCCCCACGCTCAGTGCTTCTTCCGCGGGTGGCGTTTCCGATGGCGAATGAGACATGAGCTGTAGGCGAAGGCTTTCCCACATTCCTTGCATTCGTACGGCTTCTCCCCAGTGTGCGTTTTCTGATGTTTTAGGAGATTCGAACTGCAGTTAAAGGCCTTCCCACATTCACTGCATTTAAAGGGCTTCTCTCCGGTGTGGATTCTCTGGTGCTTGGTGACGTCAGAGCTGTGCCTGAAGAGCTTCCCACACCGATCACATTTGAAGGGCTTCTCTCCAGTGTGAACCCGCTGGTGGCGGAGGTGGTCTGTCTTATGCTTAAAGATGCGTCCACACTCGCTGCACCCATAGGGCTTCTTTCTCTGAAAAGGAATGAACACGGGAACCCCCTCGAAGTCATCTTTAAACGAAGCATCGAAGGCATCAAACAAATGTTCCTCATCCTCAGGACTCGGGCTGGGTTCCTTGCCGTGCTTTTTGGCCAACGTGGACCTCTTGCTTGGCCTTTCCTCCCCAGACGACGCTTTCTCTCCTTTGGGTGTGTCCTTCAGTGAATGCACTTCCTCCTCTGGGGTCTGGGCCTTCCTTCCACCCACGGGCTTTTCCATCGTCCTTTGTTCCCAGGAGGAGGGGCCACTGGAAGCCGGGAAGGGCTACTGGGGAAGGCCAGGCCGGATTCTCCACTTCTGCAGAAAGCTCGTTCTTTACACACAGCTTCTCATCTGTCCGAGCTTGTACCGAAGGCTCTGGAACGGAATGTCTGCACCAGAGAGAGACTCCACCAACCCCTGTGCTGGTGGAGAAGCCACAGCAGGACTGTTAGATCGCACCAGCGTCCGGGAAGAGCACAGCTGGGGACTCTCGTGGCACAGAATCACTAAGGGACGGAGGGGGCGGGGCGCGCTGGGGAATTTGGCCCCTTCCGTTCCCCGCTTGTGTGCTCGTTCCCCTTGGACGTCTCCTGAGCCTCTCAAACTGGACGTGACCAAACGGGACGCTCGCTCTAACCCTCTCCCTGGGGCGGTGCCTCCGGGCCTGTGTCTGGTAGGATCTGACGCGTACCACGACCGGCAATCCCATGTGGTCCCCAAGTCGGGAGTTTCCCCCACCATTTTCTCCCTCCCATCTCCACTTCCTGTATTTGGGACCGGACGATGTGCTTTGGGGGCTCTAGGCTGAGAGGTGGCATGTGTCTGTCACTTAGAGCCTGGAGTCTGAGATGGATCAGACCTGGGGCTGGCTCCCTAGTGGGCGCCCTGCCCTCCCCCCATGGTCTGTCTCCACAGAGCAGCCAGTGAACCCCCTACCCCGTACCTGCCCCGGTGTCCCTCATACTTACAAGCCCTACACGCGCCTGACCGGGCCCATCCCTCGGCCCTCTCCTCACTCCTGTCCTCATGTCCAGCTTTCTTCAGACTCCTCAACCATACCCAGCGCTTCCTGCCTCAGTGTCGGGCTGATTCCAGAAACAGGCCAAGCGCAGGTTTTTGCGGGGCCGGCCCCTCACTTCATTAGGAGCTCTGCTCCAAGGGCCCTGCCCAGAGAGGCCTCCCGGACTCAACCAGTGCCCCCCCAACTCCCTCTTCCCTAACCCGGCCCCAGACTTCCTTGTAGCACGTCACCAGAGCGAACTCCTCCCAGAGCCAAAGCCCAGGCAACTATCACCTAGACCTTGCTCACACTGTCACTGTCTGAAACACCTGACGGACCTTGTCCCTAACTCCCTCTAACAGCATCCCAATTTCGCCACGAATTCAAACAGGGTTCACACAGCCCAGGTGTTCGCAGAAGCAGCACCTGCACGTCTCATCTTGTTTGCCGCCATCCCTCTCCTGTCTCTTTTCTGTCTCATCCGTCAGCTTCCTGGACCTGCCTCTTCTCTCAGCGCTAACTGATGGAATTCTAGCAAAAAGCCTTGACAGACTGCAGGCTCTTTAACTGTTGGTGGAAGATACTCCATGAGATTAAGGCCTTTTCTTTTTTTTTTAAAGAAAAAGCTCCAAAGGCAGGTCCTGTTTTAATTTTCCAATATTCCTTGCAGACCTTCCTTGTTAAGACCTTCTTAACAAAGGTATCTCATGACCTGTGACGACTACCCGTACCTACTAGGAGGCCCATAATCCTGACAAGCTGTCCTACCCCCAAATGGGATGCCCTACATGATAACACTCTAGGTGCTGTATTTTTCTTTGAAACTTCCTTTCCATCATCTACTTACTTACCATCCTTTAATCTGTGTGTCTATCCAACTCTGTGCGTGAAAACACAGGTTTTTAAAGTAAGCTCCATGCCCAACGTGGGGCTTGAACTCAACACCCCAAGATGCTCTACTGACTAAGCCAGCCAGGCACCCCCAAGTGATGTATGTTTTAAGGTATAAATACTCTGAATTCTCTTTAAGCCTTTCCTCTTCTCCCCCATGCAGAGGCAATACATAAGACGCCTGTAGAAACTTCCCATCCTGATAAGGAGTTTGAGAATCTAGTTTCTTCTAAATAAAAATGTTTAGGGGCGCCTGGGTGGCTCAGTAGGTTGAGCGTCCGACTTTGGTTCAGGTCACGATCTCGCGGTTCATGAGTTCGAGCCCTGAGACCGGCTGGCTGCTGTCAGCGCAGAAGCCGCTTCAGAATCTGTCTCCCTCTCTCTCTGCCCCTCCCCCGCTCATGCTCTCTCAAAGATAAACTTAAAAAACAACAACAAAAAGACATACCCTGAGAATTAACATTAAAAAACAATGTTTACTTACACTTGATTGGGATTCAGGCCTATGTGGCCCCAAAGGCTCTACTGGAGGCAGCTTCTGGGAGGCTGTTCTGAGCATCAGGTGGGAGCCTGAATCGCAGGTAAAGGCAGCTCATCTGGGCTGAGGGGAGCATGTAGAAGTAAGAGGGGACCCCTGCTGGAGAGGGCAGGTGGACGGAGGGCAGAGGACCGAGGGCAGAGGATCGCCGCACCAGGCAAGGAGGCTGGAGTCTGGCTTCAGTGGGAACCTGAAGGAAACCAAGAACCAACATGAAATGAAGACCCACCCAGCGGAGGGCCTGCGTGGGGTTTCTCTGTGCTCCGGTCTCCTATCAGGACTGCCACCGGGGCAGCAGCTGCCCTGAGATGTGGCTACTTGCGGGCAAGGGTCATGGCTCTTTCACCCCCGAATCCCTGGTTACTGGGCAGGAGCCAGCACATGCCGGTGACCAGGAAACATTCTAGATAATCGACTTGTCTGCCTCAGTCGAGCTGGCAGGTGCTTGAAGGCAGCAACGGTATTTACCCACTTCTCTAAGTGCACAGGACGCCAAGTTATTAAATAGTTAAAAACGCGGTAGACCAGACGTTTATTTACCTCACTTCACAACGAACCTGTGGACACACGCTGCAGCCTGGAACCCTTCCCACCTGGCCGGAGCAGGGGCGTCGGGCCCAAGGGCCGGTGCCCGCCGCGCAACATCAGAGACGCTCTTTTGCCCCCTTGTGCCCTGGTGGGGAGCCACCGCGGCCGGGGCCCCCGGAAGCCCCGCTCACCCTGGCCCCGTCCCCCTGCCTTCAGAAGCCGGGGTCTCGGGGGGGGCAGGGTTTATCGCAGCAGGTCTATCACGGGTGAAACGTGCACCCCAACAGTCTGCTGGGCCCCACTTGAGACCAGCAACCACAACCGATGCCGAGGAGGGGGAAAGAGACCCCGAGGGGGCAGCACGACGCACCCCCGCCAACGACAGGGCCTCGTCAACAAGTAATGCGGGACGCCGCCAGCTTCACCTCGATCCCGCACGGAGGTGGTCTCATCCTCCCTGCGGCGCCTGGGAACCCCAGAGGAGCAGATTCCCGGCTGGAGGCGGAGACGCGCCCGCCGGGCGCCCGGGAACGACGTCTGGGCCCCGCCAGCATGATATTTCCGCGCCGGGTGACCAGGCCCGCCCGTGACAGCCGGCCTCGGCGCCGACCGAGCCCACTTCCGGCACCGCCATCTAGGAGAGGCTCTCGGTGTTCACTCAGGTGGACGGCCCCGCCCCGGCTCTGGTGCCGCTTTCGCAGGAGGACATAACAACAAACCCTCACGCGCCCGTCCGTGCTCTCACCTCTGCGCCCCCTCCCTCGCGCCTGCCCCTCCCTCACTCCATCCTCCCTTCCTCCACCCTGTCCCTCATCCCTATGCTCACCCCTGAGACTCCTCCGTCACCCCTGCCCCCTCACTCACCCCTCTCCAGCCACCTGACTGTGCTACTCACACACAGCAGGTGCACTTGGCCTGTTCAGTTGCACTGGCAGCGTTCCCTCTGCCCGGATGCTCATCCCCAGCTATCTCCTTGGCGCACTCCCCCACCTCCTTGCTCCGCGTCTCCAGGGAGCCCCGACTGCTCTCTGTATTAGTTTCCCGGTTCCCACAAATTTAGCTGCTTAAAACACTTGTTTGTTCCCTCACTTCCTTGGAATAGGTGTCCAGATGTCCTGGCGTGGCTTAGTTGGTTCCCTGCTTGCTCTTGCCAGGTTGCAGTCGTGGTGTCAGTGGCTGCATTCTCAGCTGGAGGCTCATCCGTGGAAGGATCCACTTCCACACTCCCGTGGTTGTTGGCAGGATTCATTTCCCGGTGGCTGTGCCACTGAGGGCCTGCTTCCTTTGGCTTTTGGCTAGAGGCTGACCTTAGGTCCCGGTGGCCACCCACCATTCCCTGCCATGTGGCCCCTTCCAAGGCCAGTTCCCAGCATGGCTGTTTGCTCCTTCAGGGCCAGTGGGAGAGCCTCTCTTCCCAGGTTGCTCAGATGGACTGTCACAGAACATAGTCTAACCGCGGGAGTCACCTCTTGGGACCTTCCTCATATAACAACAGAACTATAGGCATTACCTCCTGTCACCATCATACAATGTGATCTAACTGCAGGAGTGACGACCTGTGTCACCTTAGAAGCAAGTCCCAGGTGCCCCCTGCACTTGGAGAGGGGAGCAGAGTCCATAACACCATAGTTGGTCTCTTCTCCCACCCCTGACTCCCCCACCCGTCCTGCATTTTCTCATAACACGTTCCACTAACACACTATGTAATCTCCTTATCAGTGTGTTTATCACGTACAGGTGCACCTAGGAGGGTGGGTTGGGTTCCAGACCATAGTAGTAAAAGCAAATATTGCAATGAAGTGAGTCAAATGACTTTTTTTGGTTTCCCAGTGGCTATAAAAATTATGTTTACACAATACTGTGAGTTATTAAGTGTGCAACAGCATTGTGTCTTTGAAAAAACAATGTATGTACCTTCATTACAAAAATACTCTCTTGTTAAAACCGCCAGCTGAGCTTTCAGCCAGTGCGTCTCTGCTGGCCGAGGGTCTGCCCCGAGGACGACGGCTGCTGGGTGGTCCGCGTGGCGGCTGTGAAGCCGGGGCGGCGGTGGCCAGTTTCAAAATAAGACGGCAGCGTGAAGTTTGCTACGGCCGCGAATGCTTCCTTTCACGAACGATTTCTCTGGAGCAGGTGATGCTGTTTGATAGTATTTCACTCTGGGCCACGGTAAAACTGTCCAATAGAATCACCCTAGCATCCTTGAAAAAGTTTTTTTTCAGGTGTCACACAAGAGCTGGTGAAGCAATGCCATAGGGGCTGAACCCCGTGACGCACGAC